ACAACTCATTATCATTAATATGTTGACCGTTCAACAAATGCAAACATAATAAAAAGCCAAAAGAAATAATATTACTATGAGTAATAGTAATATTACTATAACAACAGTAATATTACCGTCAACCACAGTAATATTATTGTGTTTACAGTAATATTACAATAATAGACAATAATATTATTAGTTATTACGTTACTCCGTGAATAACTCAAACAAAACAAAAAAAATTCAAAAAAATACTAATATTGATGTGGTTGACAATAATATTATTGTGTTTACGGTTATTTTACTGTCAACGGGGGGGGATATAATTACGTTGATTTGTCAGGGGAATCAAACAAAATTAAAAAAAAATAACAAAAAAAAAATAATAATATTGTCATTGACTCTAAATGTACTGTCAAGGGCAGTACAATTACATAAATGTATTGTCAACGGCAGTACAATTACGTTAATCTACTGTCAGTGATAGTATAATTACATTAATTTACTGTCAGTGACGGTATAATTACCGTTAATGACAGCACACACAAAAAAAATTTTGTGGCGGCGTAAAAAAAAAAAAAAAAAAAAAAAAGCTGACGCCGAAATCCGGCGACAAAAAAATATATTTTGCAAAAAAAAGTCAAAATTAAATTTTTGTGATAAAAATTGATTAAATTGTGTGTTACAATTAAGAATTTGGTGTAAAGGATTGGGGGTAATTTTGTCATATACATGAATTTTTCCTTTATTTATAATAAATATTAAAGGGATGTGTTTATTGGTGAAAGAGATATAGCCCATAAACCTAGAATAATAAAGATGTTTGGTTAGGGATTTAGAGGGTGTTTGGCTAAGCTTATAAGATGTTAAAAGGAGCTTATAAGATGTTTTAGAGCTTATAAGCTCTTCTAAAGTGTTTGGTAAATTTTTAAAAAAAGATCTTAATTTTTTTAAAAATAAGCTGTGGGAGACCAAATAAGATCTTTTTAAATAAGTACCTCTACCCCACCTTTTTATTTAAGATCTTATAATGAGTAAAAATAGGAAATAAGCTCATTATCCAAACACTATAAAAATTAATCCTAAAAATAAGACGTAACAACTTATCAGCTCTAAAAACATCTTATCAGATGTAAGAGCTTATCAGCTGTTTAAAATAAGCTTAGCCAAACACCCTCTTAGAGGGTGTTTGGCTAAGCTTATAAGATGTTAAAAAGAGCTTATAAGATGTTTTAGAGCTTATAAGCTCTTCCAAAGTGTTTGGTAAATTTTAAAAAAAAAATCTTAATTTTTTAAAAAATAAGCTGTTGGAGACGAAATAAGATCTTTTTAAATAAGTATCTCTACCCCACCTTTTTATTTAAGATCTTATAATGAGTAAAAATAGGAAATAAGCTTATTATCCAAACACTCTAAAAATTAATCCAAAAAATAAGATGTAACAGCTTATCAGCTCTAAAAACATCTTATCAGACGTAAGAGCTTATCAGCTGTTTAAAATAAGCTTAGCCAAACACCCTCTTAAGCACAAAAACTCAATAGTATATTTTTTTTTGGTAGTTACACTACATATATGTAAGACAAAATTACATAATATATATATATATATATATATATATATATATATATATATATATATATATATATATATATATATATATATATATATATATATATATATATATATATACATATATATAGATGTATATAATATAGATATATATATATATATATATATATATATATATATAACTCCAAATTGGATATCCATACAAAATCGTAAATATTATGTCTCATTTTCACTTATAGTGGTGTTTCAATAAATTTTGTAAATGTTAATTACATACTAAAATAAATTTATATGCCCCGAATGTAATTTGTAGAATGATATTAAACATTATAATATATTTAGAAATTATGAATGCACCCCTATATTTTTATTCTTTACGCGTTTCCCACGTTCCCGTATCCAACTTTTTGGAAAACGGAGTTTCCCGTGTATGTTTCTCTGTTTCCCCGTGTCCGCGTTCCTGTGCCCCATGCTACATGATCCTTATATTTTCTAATTCACTAAAAATACAATCCATTTCAATAATTTTAGACAAAATAAAATAGATTATGAACTTTTTTTCCCCAAAAGGAACTGTGCCTACTTTGGTCCCAAAATTGCTTTGATCTTCATTTTTTTCTTCAGTTAGTCGTTATCATGGTGATCTGTCCATAGAATTATGCAAATGCTCAATTGACTGGATTCATTGCAATTCCGGTGAAAAATAAGCTTGAAACTATAATTTGGGGCAAACTACAATAGGAACAAAATTTGAAGAGGGGAATCTCTTTTTTGAATTAATAGAGGGAAAAGTGAAAAAATCAAAACAATTTAGGGGGTGAAGTGCATTTGGCCCTGTTATTTATCCTCTGCACCTTTTGAAATACCAAAATCCCCTATAAACACATATAGAACATATATTTCAAAAAAAATAAAATCAAGGGGGTGCGTCATTACACCTCCGCCACTGGCTACAACGTTCATGTAACCAAACGAGATCACTCGTCACAACTTTAGAAAGGAAAAATTAGACAAGAGTCAAAACAAATGGACGTGTTCATATACATAGAAGAACCAAATTTAGCTAATATATTCGTAGCTCCGTAGATTTCCACGCAACAGAAGTTGAGAGTGACACGATCAAATTTTCATTAAGTCTATGAGAAGAGTCTGAAGATCCCTTTGCATTTCATCCAATCTGTTACAACAAGAGATCATAAATTTGGGCTTTATATTGAAGTCCATACTAAATTTAGGCTTCGCAAATATATCACATGGGATTACCCAGAATGAGTACTAAATTTTTATTCTTGGATTAGCTATTTGGGCTCACAAAATATAACACACATTAAATAAGTTGCAAGTGTTCAGGTTCACAGGTCCGAGTTTCAAGTCAAGAAACTCTTAATCGAGCCTATAAAAGGAGTTATCAAACACCACATGCGCACATACACAAGGACACAAGCATCAAGCATAGGGATGGCAAAAAAACCCGAACCGCTAGCTATCCGCGGGTATCCGCTCCGTTTAAAACCCGTTACCGAATTGGTAATGGTTTTGGTAAAAGAAAAGAAAACCTTCATGGTTTTGGTATGGTTCTGGTTTTACCTTTGCGGTCATGGGTACCCGACCATTTAATATATATATATATATATATATATATATATATATATATATATATATATATATATATATATATATATATATATATATAGTATTAAATAATTTAGGGAGGGTATATTTGTATAATTTACTATTTGTTCTTTTCTTTTTTTCTTCCTCTTTTCTGAGAGTTACTTAAACGTTATCGGATCTAAAGTTATTTTGTATTACCGTAATTAAATGGTAAATGAGTACCCGTGGATATCCGGATATTCGTGGTAATGGTTGTGGTATTTTCATCAACTTTTTAAAAGGGTTTGGTACGGTCATGGTTTGAGCTATATTAAATGGTAATGGTTCTGGTATTGCACTTTTTCGAGGGTACCCGCTCCGCTGCCATCCCTATTCAAGCAAGGTGTACATCAAGCACTCAAAAGCTCTCAAGTCTCGAGCTCTTGCCACGACGAAGAACAACAACCGCGGAAGTTCTACATCTTCATCAAGGCACCATATACACAAGACGTAGAAATTCCCAAATCGATTTGTAGATATTCAAATCTACTTCCGCAAATCAAGGAAGGAATCAAGCTCTAAATTCAAGAACAAGCTTCGGCCCTTGGATTAAATTTAGGAGAAGAATCAGAGGAATCAACAAAGATTGCAACCCATTTCATTTTGATTAAAATATATTTATTTGTTCCTATTTTTTCTTGTCTTGTAATTTATTTTGCAGACATTTAATTTTGAGGTTAACAGTCCCTAACACATGCCACTTTTTTGCCATTTCCATTCCGCCGTTACTTCTTGCTGTTACATTGGACTTAAATCTGACATGAACTTGAAAATCTCAATATATGGTATTGACATGGATGATTAATCGATGTGGCCACTTACGTGCATGCTGTTGTTGATATGCTTCGTGAAACTAACTCATATATATTAACCAGGGCCGGTCCGACGTATTTTGGAAGCCTGGGGCCAGCATATAAATTGTAGCCTTAATAATATGGGGTTTCTGAGCAAAGTTATTATTATTTATTTTTATTTTTTACATATTGTGTCTACTGACATAATATAAGAAATATTGATTAATGTAAACTACATGATCAATAAAATATTGGAAATATTAATGTATATCCCAACATTTATTTTAAAGTAAGTGTTAGAGAAATATGCAATAATTTGATATAAATATAGATTTAAAATTATATATTTTTTAAACTAAGTTTTAAAAATTATAAATAGATTTTTTTTTATAAATATATATATATATATAAAGGACCCTTAGAAAATTGGGCCCTGGGCATCAGCCCTGCTTGTCCCACCCCAGTACCGACCTTGATATTAACTCAATTACTCATGCATTGGCACCCAAAATGACTCATCTCTCAACTTTGCTAGAGAGAACGAGCGACCATGCACATTTCCAAAAAACCCATTTCAACTTTGCAAACGAGTCACCACCATGCAAGAGACCCATTCCGACCTACTTAAGAGGAAATTCTCATAATTGACTGTGAACGATATAGTTGTCGGTTGCATAGCATTTATTTCGACTTGGCATGAAATTTCCATATTTGAACACAAAACATATAGTATATATATAATAACCTTTTGCAATATGTGCGCGTAAACACACTTTAGAATTAGTTAATAAATAAGACATAAAGCTACATCTATTTTTTTTAGTTCTTTCTAATCTGATATTTTGTTCTATTCAATATTATTAGAGACGATTAAAGATGCATCAATCAAATACAAGTTTGAATAAAATATATGGATTGATATTCCTTACACCATGACATTTTTTTTGGTTGTTTAAATGAGTTGAAGACATTATTTTTGATTTTTTTTTTCTTTTTTGTGATTAAATTCAAGTCCTTCATAAGAAGAAGTATGGGAGATGGTACTCGTAACCTAGACTTTTACCCTATTGATAAAGTTAGGTACGAACTCTTTGAGAATTGGTTGAAGACATTGATAACAGAATTGTAAATGGTCCAAATCCTCAATATTTGACAAAAGAAAGAATTCTTGTTGAGTAAATTAAAATATTATAAATTTCATTCAACAAACTCAAATATATTCAAAGAAACACATCATTCAAAGTACAAATTGCATTGCATCAGATGTGTGTGATGGAAAACAATTGAGTTTAGGGGATTATTGAGGCAATTTACGAGTTCAAAGATGTGTCATATGGAAAAAAACAAGCGATTTGGAAAAGAAAGGCTTATATTCTAATTAAGATGGAATCTGAAGTTGAAGAGGGGGGTTGACTCTTGCATATCATGTGTGAAGCACATGTTGTTTTCCGTCCAAACTAGCCAGCCAAATTGATGGAGGGACAAAAATAGCAGAAAAATTGCATATTTAGAAATGGATAATGTCACTCCAACTTGTTTAGGGACGAAAAGCGAATAAGTGGTAAAGTATGGAGACGAAAAGTGTAATTATCCCTAAAACTGCCGAAATTGAAAATTTTCTGAGAAAGCCATTTTCGATCCATTCCGTCCGATTTTCACCTCTACTTTGCGGTATTTAAAATTTTGAAACCCTAATACAATTCCAAATTTATCAATCGATATTTTTTTACCATTAACTGTGATTGACCACTTCTTTTAAAAAAACTTATTTTTAACAATTTATTTTCTCCTTCCAGCAATAATGATATATATATTGATCGGTCAGCACAACAACATTAAAAATAATTGATTATTTTCTCTGAAAATATTATTGTATGGACCGGTCGACGAATCAACATTTTAAAAAAGAAAAAAATACATTATTTTTCTACAATTTTTTGGTTGGTCAAGGCTCACGGCTATTGTATTATTGACCACAACATAATTACAACCAAGAATGCTAAAATTTTACATTTACAATTCGATTTGATTCATACATTAATCGATTCAAATCTTTAAACAAAATCTTAAAAATACACTAAAAATCTGACGCTTTATGATTCAACGAGTCAAAACTCAGTTGACTCAATAGAAGAGTGGTGATAATTATGGTTGTGGAAAAGTCTTCATTTGACCAAGTCAACATACAACTTGCACTGATTACAGTGTGACCCTAAAAGCAAGATAACTAATTAAAGCTGGAATAAAGAGTCAATTCTGAAGCGGGACATGTTAGCGACGTAACAACTGAGTCGATCCAACGAGTTCAAACCAACTCAGTCAAATTGATTATTGCCGGGAAATGAATTGTTTGTCAAATCGCCTTATTAAATATACCAACTCAAATTTAATTGCCCCATCATCGACTTGCTAACTAGTAACTACTAGAATTTATTTGCCAAACAAAAAATCTAAGTATTTATTACTTGGAAAATATGAAAATGAAATGTATGGCTGATTTTGCATTATTAAAATAATACGGCATTTTACTATGACTCGATTCTAACTAAAAAAAACCACCAAATGGCGATTAGGTCCATAGATCTAGACTTAAATGCATATAAGTTTAGACAAAAAACAGTTTCCTAAATAAATTCACCCCATGCAATCTCACTCCTCTACGTCCTAGTAAACCACCGGCTTATATTATGCCACACCAGATAAAATACACTGGGTAGATATTTACCAATCATATACACACACATACCCACATTGGTGTGTGTAAATCAACGGTAAAAAATCATCCGGCGTAACCTTCATTGGGTGTAGCATATAACTAACCGTAAACCCCCCAATAATGGGAGTAGTAGTTCATTGATTTCACAAAAAAAATTATTTTTATTACCAAAAAAATCCGATAACTCAATGAATTTAGCAAATGACACCCTACAAACTCGATACTTCGACGGACGGTTATGTGCTAAAACAAAATGCATTGTAGGAAATTTCTTGCTAATATTACTAAAATGAGAAGATTTCTAGTAATTCGATGTATCAAATTCAATTAACTCATGAAAAGTAATCCACAGCCCAAAACGTAAATTCTTACGAGCTACACTAATCAACGGCTGAAAAGACGAAGGGCAACAAACATTCAAATTTTCAGAACAATTGCGTTCCATTAGAATAGTAGAGCAAGTCTTGCCTTCTATTATTTGGCACATGTTTTCAAAGTGTTTGGCAGAAGCAGGAAACGAAGAAGAACACGACATCTTCTTTCGATTTCCCGATTAAGAAAAAAAGAAGCAATTTATTCTCGAATACTTATGTATCGAAAGATGGGATCAAACGCAAAGTTTGAAATCACCAAATCTTATGCACGGAAAACGAAACAACTTTCTATTGTTTCTTTGCATGTCTCGCACAGAAAGCTTTCATTCTTGAAAGGCCATCGTCTAGAGAAGATGGCTCAATTGCAAATGTTATTCGGAGCCAATTCTTTAGACCTACAGCGACACCTGTCAATGGTAAATTCATCTTTTTCGTTAAAATCTAATTGAATGCATCATTGAATCGGAACTTGTGTGTGTGTGTGTGTGTGTGTGTGTGTGTGTGTGTGTGTGTGTGTGTGTGTGTGTGTGTGTGTGTGTGTGTGTGTGTCTATATATATAGACACACACACACTAGAACCTCGATACTTTAATAACCTCGCTTAAATAATAATTTTTCCCAATCCCGACTCGATATAAACGTACTAAATTATTAGTTCGATAATTTAATATTTCGTTAAATTAATAGAATTTTAATGGTCCCGACTGTATTAATTTATAGAGGTTTAACTGTATATATACATATAACCACTAAATTATTTACCTGGGAGTACTATCACGGATTCCTCTTTAGCTAGCTTGCAGCAGAAGTCCGTATCATCCATAAAGCCTTCGAGGAGGGAAAGATTAAGTTTTACCTGCGATGCAAAAACTCGTTGCAGATCAGTTAAAGGATTATATGTTAGTTTAGTAAAAGAAATTGTAAATGTTCGGCTGTTTTTGTTTTTTACCATGACAAACATGGATCCTTCGGGTTTGCTTGGACAAGTAATGCAGGGAATTTCCTTGATTCGATCGTAGCATATCTCTGCAGATTCTTTAAGTGTACTTACAATTTTCGTAAAGAAATCAGCCGGGGTGTTTTCAAGAATCTCCGGAACTGCCCCCTGTTCGTGTCAAAGCAAAAAAAAAAAAAACTTTCAAAATCATTACGAGAAGACAAGAATTTAGAACGTATAAGCAAATATGATATAAATATATCATTTCAGTATATATAATGATTGGGTTGTTCAAATATTAGTTTAAGCCATATCTTCAAATCGAACACTAACATTTTCATGATGCTAAAAGGGAAACGATAGCCAATTTAAACGAGCAAAAAAAATAAACAATTAAAAAACAAAGGAATCAGTTGCAGTAAAGATGGCAATTAGAAAGAAAAACACGAGTCTGAAACAAAAGAGACCTGCATAAAGGTCGCTGGGTCGGACGTAATATTCAGAAATCCCTTGATGCTATCAACAATCTGCATATATGGAAATATTCAGCACAATTGGCAAAATTACAAAATAGAAAACTAGGCTTCGATTATTTCGAGTTATTTTCCAATAATTTATTTTCCAAGCAGAAAGAAGTGCGAGATGAGAAAATACCCCTTGCTTCATCAAGATTCCGTTAGGATCATGTGTGACAAGCCAGCCAAGCCTCCAACCAGGAACAATCCATCTCTTTGATATCGATCCAACTGTAATTATCGGAACAATTGACCCAAATACCCCCATTGGAACAAACGGGCTTTCTCCAAACGTAAGGTGATCATACACTTCATCAGCAATCACCAAGATTCCAAGCTTTCTCGCAGTCTCCGCAACCTATTAAATCATTTAAAAGTTATTCCAATAAATAAATAGATCAAATTAAATCCATATTTCAACTCAAATTCAATGAATTCGGTACCTTTTTCAAGTGATCATACTTGAAAACATTCCCACAAGGATTCCCTGGATTTATTACAACCATAGCAACGGTGTTTTCGTCAGACAAAGCTTCAACTGCAGCAAGATCAACTTCCCAGTTATTTTCCGGGAGAAGATCGAAATGCCGCACTTCGAGATCGGAAAACCCAGCTCTGGCTTCGTAGTAAGGGAAGCCAGGTCTCGGAAGTAATATGTTTGCACCGGGGCGAGCGAGGACTGTCACAATGGCTTCTAATGCTTGTGTACATCCAATTGTCAGAAAAACATCATCGGGCGATAGCTTGTAAGGAAGGTCTTTCGAAAGGTGTTCTGCCACTGCCCTGCTCACACAAATTAGTTTCACATAAATCATTTGGAACGGTATGCAAATTGTGTTTGTTAAGCTTTTCAATACATTTTCATAATTAAGATTTGGAAATCGTCAAAACTTGTGCACATACTTGATTTGGCTGCTACATCAAAAATTCTCTCCATTAAGGCCTCGTTTGGTTATGGAGATTAGTCATGATTAACTAAATAATAGGAATTTGTTTGATGTTTGGTATTCACAATAACTTGCCGGGTCGACCCGCAGATATTATGTTATCATGACTTATCTTGCCTTCTATGCATGTTTTTTATTGGATTATCGAAGGTTCAATAATATAATTGAATTTCGTTAGATTATTTAATCCTATCTCGGCAACCAAACGAGGCCTCGTTTGGTTGCCGAGATAAGATTAAATAATCTAATGAAACTGTATTGTTTTATTGAACTTTCGATGATCCAATAAAAAATATGCATAGAAGGCGTGATAAGCCATGATAACATAATATTTACGGGTCGACCCGGCAAGTTATTTTGGATACCAAGCATTAAACAAAGTCCTATTATTTAGTTCATCATGACTAATCTCCATAACCAAACGAGGCCCAAGTACACAAAATTATATCACTTCAAATTATTCTTCTAAAATACCCTAAAATCAATCCCCTCTTTTCCCAAAAGTGAGCAATAAAACAGTGTACTTTTGCGCATATATCTCGTAACGATGTTCAGAAGAGGGGAGAAAAGATCCTATTCAATACAATGCACGCATGAAACACGAATCCATGGAAACTGGTAAACCAATCGACAGCTCACAACTCACGGCGGAGCTATTACTAATTCGAAAATACCTGCGAGCGGGAGGAATACCAACGGTGGAGGAGTAGCCGTTGAACTTGGCGGAGCGCAAGGCGGAGCAGATAGCGTCCTCGGCCAAGGGGGTGGTGCGGAAGGAAGGGAAGGCGGAAGGGTCGCCGTGACCCAGCGGAATAACCGGCCTAGCTTCATCGGGGTTTAGATTCTCCATTAACATGTTCAGCACACCTCTGACAGTGATTGCCGACGCCTGCGTCAGCTTTTCATTTCCAATGAAGCGCCAATTTTTCAGCGCCGACCCACCGTTCTCCATTGATGAATTTCTTCGTCCGCCTCTCTCACTGGTTAATCGTTCCTTTTGTAGAGATTCTGAGAGGTGGTTGGTGGGTGGGGGAAAAATGGTGAAGAAGGTGACAAAAATAGGAAGCACAAATTGTAGTGGGCTTTTTTGATTGACAATTTTTGGGGAAATAGGTGATTTGGGGCTTTACGTCTTCTTTTTTTATTGGTAATTTTTAGAAATATCTATTAGGGTGGAAAAATCGGAATTGAATTTTCGAATTTCTTGGAATAGACAATATTTATCTTTATATAAAGGGTAAACTACAGATAAATCCCTAATCCAAAACTCAAAACACACATCAGTCCCTAGGTAGTTTTCCTAAGCAAATCAGTCCCCACTTATGCGCCTAACATGCAGATCAGTCCCTAACAAAATGTGCAAATACTAAAATACCCTTTACTTTATACTAATTTTACATAACTTCTTTTCAACTTCCAACGCGCCGTTTGTGTTACACGCTCTTTGCCGTTCAGTTTATACTCATTTTCAGACAAAGAAGAAACAGAGAAGAAACGAAGAACAAAGAAACAACAAAGAAGGAAGAAACAACGAAGCACGAAGAATCAACAAAACGCAGAAAAATAATAAAGCGAAAGGAAAAATAAAAATAAACAAACCCATTTCTAGACAATGGTGAAGCAGGGTAAACAACAAGGTTTGATTTTTTATTTTTTTTTCATTTTCTTGGAAACAAACTCATTTGGGTGTTGCTTAAGCTTGCAAAAAGGTTTATTTGTTGTAGAATTGCATGATTTTGAACATATCAACTCATGGGTATTATGCCTCGACTTTATTTGGTTTCCCCTAATCATTAAATCGGTTTCAATATCTGTTGTTCTGTTGTTTGGGTTTGCAAAGATCATTTATTTGTTGTCGAATTTCATGATTTTGTAACAGTTTTCTCATGGGTATTATTCTTCGGTGACATTAGCATGTCCCCAAAGCATTTTGAGTCCTAATAAGGGTTTCATATAGGATATGGGAAAGAGGCTTATTGTATTTTTCGTACTGGTTGTATAGTATGCGTCATGCGCAGTAATGGTATTAATAGTGCGTTTAGATGGTATTGACACAGGGTACTCGAAGTACTGTCCCGAAAGCATTTAGTCCTAACAAGGGTATATGTCATATGTAATAATTGTATTCCTCTTGACTTCGGACGGTATTAACACAGGGTACTGGAAGTAGGGGTGGGCATTCGGGTCGGGTTATTCGGGTATGACCCGACCCGGTCAGGTATTACCCGACCGGATCGGGTAATTTTTGAGTTAACCGGGTTTTTTCCGGGTTCGGGTACCCGGTACTCCCAAACCGGGTCGGGTCCGGGTATTAGTAATTCTAGCCGGGTACCCGATCGGGTACCCGGTTAAAAAAAAAAAAAAAATTATATATTTAATAATTATATATAACCCAGAAATCCTCCATTAACGGACGGACCTTCTGGTAGAAAAGCCAACGCTTTTAGGTGGTCGTCGAAACCCATTACGAAGAGCGCCGCGCCACCCCTAAAGACACAGCTCCCAGAATCACCATTCTTGAATGTTCTGTTTTCGAGGTTGTAGTAAGCGACGGCGGCGGCGGCGATTCTCCGCCTAAAAATCTGATCTTGGGAAGTGGGTTGTGGGTTTTAGGTTGGGGGATCTTTCTACATGATGGGTTGTGGGATTGGCGTGGTTGAAGTGAAGATGAACCCTCAGCGTGTTCATCGTCTTCGTTGGGAGATTATTGAATCTCTGTATTTTAATTTAGATGAGTGGTGGTGAAGGTAATGAGAATTTTGATTTTCTTGCCTTTATCTACAGAGGAAATAAATAAAAAATACAAAAACATAAAAAAAAAATTAAGAAAAAAAAAGAAGAGAAAAATAGCAAAACCCGAACCCGACCCGAACCCGACCCGAAATAACCGGGTACCCGGTTGCCGGATACCCGGTTATTTCGGGTCGGGTTCGGGTAATATTTTTTTTGCAAAAAACCCGAATAACCCGACCCGAATAACCCGAATAACCCGACCCGACCTGAATGCCCACCCCTAACTGGAAGTATAATCTTTGATGGTTCTGTAGTATGTGTCATATGCCACAATAGTATTGCTAGTGCCTTTGAATGGCATTGCTAGTGACTTTGGATGGTATTGACACATGGTACTGGAAGTATAAGTTTGATGGTTCTGTAGTATGTGTCATATGCCACAATAGTATTACTAGTGCCTTTCAATGGCATTGCTAGTGACTTTGGATGGTATTGGCACATGGTACTGGATGTATAAGTTTGATGGTTCTGTAGTATGTGTCATATGCCACAATAGTATTACTAGTGCCTTTGAATGGCATTGCTAGTGACTTGGATAGTATTGACACATGGTACTGGAAGTATAATGTTTGATGGTCCTGTAGTATGTGTCATATGCCACAATAGTATTGCTAGTGCCGTTGAATGGTATTGCTAGTGCATTCGAATATTATCGACAAAGGGTACTGGAAGTATAATGTTTGATTGTAATGTAGTATGTGTCATATGCCACAATGGTATTGCTAGTGCCGTTGAATGGTATTGCTAGTGCATTCGAATAGTATCGACAAAGGGTACTGGAAGTATAATGTTTGATTGTAATGTAGTATGTGTCATATGCAACAATGGTATTGCTAATGCATTTGGATGGTATTGAACGAAATTACTGGAAGTACTAGTAGTGGAACTTGATAGTACGTTGTATTTGTTATAATTGTAGTTTTATGTGTATGTAATTGCAGGAATTGATGTAAAAGAAGATTGCAGCAAGCTATCAATAGGCTGCAGGTGCTCACCGATCGCTTTTCAAACAACTATGGAAGGTGTGAAAAAAGTGATGAAGAAACAACATTATGAAGTACTGAAGAAAAATCCCTTCTATCTCTACATGGACATGCCTAAACTAAACCAAAGCTTCCATAGGGTTGCGTCTCTCATGCAAGCGTACAATGTAAAAGATCGGGCCTTCTGGTTTGGGGGAAATACTATACGCTTGGAAGTGTTTTGGGGTTTTTGTGTTTTTTTGTAATTAATGAACATATGAATGTGTTTTTGTGCTATAAACAATCTGTCCTTTTGTTGTAGAGCTAATAATACTATTGATGATTAGCTTTCTTCGTACCTTTCCATTGTATCCATTGTACTATATGTTTCGATGAAATGTACTTACCTTTTGAACACATGGTACTTTATTTTGCGATTAATTAGTTTGTATAAAGAATATAAGCGTACCATAAAAATGAGTAACAAATACTTTCTAGTCTATTCGAAGATACCTTGTCAACACTAGACTTGTACTTACTTGATGAACAAAGCGTACTTCACATGTGTATTCACGAAAAACTTACCATAAACTGAAGAATTGTGTCTATTCATTCTTAATAGTCTTAAAATGAAGAGTTGTGTCTTAAAATGCGATCATATGGATGCATTGGCCCCACAATAATATATAGAGTGTAACAATACTATATGAATGGCAAACATATACTTTATCAGTGAACAAAGCGTACTATAGTCACGAATCACTTGTACTTCACATGTGTATTCATTGTACTTACTTGATGAACAAAGCGTACCATATTTTTTGATGAATTGAATTGTACCAATTTCATTGACGCTTTAATGATTAATAAGTACGGGAGATGCATAAATTATGTTTTAGATGATTATTTTAAGGTAGGTGAGCATTATTGTTGCGTTTGAAATACAAGATCCCATAAATATGTTGAATTTCATACATGATACTCATATACTATACAATATATTCATACAAGTCTACAATGCTCAAGTGTAAAACTAATATTTTCCTCAATTCTTACCATAATCGATATTGATCGACTCCCACATTGTCTGCATTCATTCTTAATAGTCTTAAAATGAAGAGTTGTGTCTTAAAATGCGATCATATGGATGCATTGGCCCCACAATAATATATAGAGTGTAACAATACTATATGAATGACAAACATATACTTTATCAGTGAACAAAGCGTACTATAATCACTTGTACTTCACATGTGTATTCATTGTACTTACTTGATGAACAAAGCGTACCATATTTTTTCATGAATTGAATTGTACCAATTTCATTGACGCTTTAATGATCAATAAGTACGGGAGATGCATAAATTATGTTTTAGATGATTATTTTAAGGTACGTGAGCATTATTGTTGCGTTTGGAATACAAGATCCCATAAATATGTTGAATTTCATACATGATACTCATATACTATACAATATATTCATACAAGTCTACAATGCTCAAGTGTAAAACTAATATTTTCCTCAATTCTTACCATAATCGATATTGGTCGACTCCCACATTGTCTCCATTCATTCTTAATAGTCTTAAAATGAAGAGTTGTGTCTTAAAATGCGATCATATGGATGCATTGTCCCCACAATAATATATAGAGTGTAACAATACTATATGAATGGCAAACATATACTATATCAGTGAACAAAGCGTACTATAGTCACGAATCACTTGTACTTCACATGTGTATTCATTGTACTTACTTGATGAACAAAGCGTACCATATTTTTTCATGAATTGAATTGTACCAATTTCATTGACGCTTTAATGATCAATAAGTACGGGAGATGCATAAATTATGTTTTAGATGATTATTTTAAGGTAGGTGAGCATTATTGTTGCGTTTGGAATACAAGATCCCATAAATATGTTGAATTTCATACATGATACTCATATACTATACAATATATTCATACAAGTCTACAATGCTCAAGTGTAAAACTAATATTTTCCTCAATTCTTACCATAATCGATATTGATCGACTCCCACATTGTCTCCATTCATTCTTAATAGTCTTAAAATGAAGAGTTGTGTCTTAAAATGCGATCATATGGATGCATTGGCCCCACAATAATATATAGAGTGTAACAATACTATATGAATGACAAACATATACTTTATCAGTGAACAAAGCGTACTGTAATCACTTGTACTTCACATGTGTATTCATTGTACTTACTTGATGAACAAAGCGTACTATATTGACGAATAACCCAAACTTTACCAGCTTATACATTGTACTTATTTGGTGAATAAAGCGTACTATATTCACTAATAACCCAAACTTTACCAGCT